GATATTATGTATCTCTGCACAGTAGTTCGGCTCGATTCGAAAAGTTAAATAGCCGTAGCATCTTTGTAGACAACCAAATTTATTTACTTTTGTGTTTTAACATCATTTTTTAACTTTGTTTTGGTCAATTTGATCGTCCACACCGACAGAGAGAGAGAGAAGAGGGGAGGAGTTGATCTTGCGAGAACTTCCGGGCGGGTGAGAATAGCCACTTTCCCAGTTGTAATGGAACGTTTGTTCACGGCACAAAATTCTACAATTTTTCTGTTATCACAGTGTAGAATTCTGTGGTTTAGGGTGAACGCAAAATTTGTTGGCCTAGATCTAGATATAACTGAACGCGCACCGGGTGAGAATAGCCAAAAGACTCGCCTGCACTATTCTCACCCCGGGTGAGAATAGAGGTGGCCATTTCAAAAACTATTAATTTGTGATGGAAATTAAGATAATATTCGTGCTCAGTGCATCAATATTTAGTAGGGGAGGACTTCCGTAACGAACGACCTTAGTGAGACAGCAGAATTGAGGGCTTGGGGTAGGGGTAGGGGTAGGGGTAGGGGTAGGGGTAGGGGTAAGGGTAGGGTTAGGGTTAGGGGTATGGTTAGGGTTAGGTCTAGGCCTCTTCTTTATTGTGTTTGATGGGGTGGTCGCTCGTTACGGAAGTCCTTCCTTTAGTAGAAAATAGACAACTGGTAGTTAAGTGTGAGACGGGAGGGAAAGTAAAAAAATACCCAGTGCCCAGTAGTGTTGGGTAGGTCTACTTTCTTGAACTTGAACCGCAGCGCACTGGTTATCGATAAAAGGACACCTCGTCCGAAATTACGATTTCACGGATAGGTTCGGTGTGAAAACTGATTGAAATTACCTCATGATTGCAAATGCAAAAATTCCAGGGAAGAAGACTCACGAGGAGGTCTCACGCAATATAAATTACAATTTCTTTCTTTCTCCAATGCCTGGAGCGTTTGTTTGGAAGAAAGCGGAACCGGCAATAAATAAATTTTATACACAACTAACGTAAAAACTGGATCGGCAAAGGTTGAGTAAAAAAGAATAAGCTTTTAGATCTAGATCTAGATATAGGGCCTATTTTTTATTTAAAAAATAATTAAATCATACACTTTTATTTGATTTTTTTTTTTCGATATGGGGGCTTTGTAAACTTTTGCTTTATTAGGCCTAGATCTAGATATATTTTGTTCTTAATTCTATTTTCAAAAACAATACTTTAGGCTGTATTATAGAACCTTTTCAGAGCAAAAATAAACCATACATTTATTGAGAAAAATATAAGTCTAAATAATTGTGTGTGTGTGTG